ACAAAATAACCAAAAGGCTACACTTTTCGTAAGTAAACAGTTATATAAACATAATCAAGTCTATATATATTTAGAAAAAGAACACTAATTTCTCTCTCTCTCTCTCTCTCTCTCTCTCTCTTCGCGTAAATAGTACATTGGTTCTAATGTTATTAATTATCCAGCTGCCGCTAAACTTGCCTTCAATGATGGACATCAAATCTGTTCACACACTTGGTCACATCCACCCATGACAACAATCAGTAATGAACAAGTCGTTGCGGAATTTTACTGGTCTCTCAGAGCCATCAAAGAAGCCACCGGTGTCACACCCAAGTGCTGGCGTCCTCCACAGGGCAATGTGGATGATCGTATTCGTTCTATCGCTTGGCAGATGGGTATGCATACTGTTGGCTGGAACGATGATACCTTTGATTGGGACATGCCTGCACCTGGAGGTGGAGACCTCCCTCCTTCCGAGGTCGATAAGAAGTTTAGCACTTGGATCGCCGAAGAAAATGCTGGTCAACTTTCCTCTGGTCTTTTGGTTCTTGAGCACGAATTAAATAGTGCCACTGTCAATATGTCAATGCATTGGTTGCCAGATCTCCAAAAGTCATTTAACGTTATTCCTGCACTTGCATGTAACAATGTCACGCAGCCTTATTGGGAACAGAATTATGTGTATCCTCTTTCTAACAAACCTGCTGTGAAGAAGTAAGAAAGGGGTAAAAAAGAAGATATCAGGCATATTTTCTCTTACCATTTTCTAGTGTTTTCTTGTTGAAAGGAAATATCTTCATTTATAACATTCATACATACATTATTAAATAAAAGTACAGACATCCATATATATTTTATATAAATACAATCATGGATTTCACGGATGGCCTGTAAATATCTCCTTTATATGTTTTTTGAGATAAAACAGCATCAAATGGCGCCATACGCTATAAATTATCGAGACGATAAGCTATATATCATTTACCAAAAGGAATATTCTATTCCTTTTGTTCGCTTTTACCATATATAGCATTCCAGATTTATTTATTAGTTGCTAATAACCCCACACATGGCTAAAAGCACAACGCTATATGAGATGACACCATTCGATTAGTTTGTATTACTTGAAAGCAAAATGAATTTTCAATATCAAAAAAAAAAGAAATGAATGTCCTTCTCTCTCTCCTTTAGCACATCAATAAAAGTACATTTTATAAACCATTCTTATAATGGATATTAAAGTTATGTCATATCAAAACGTGGTCTTTGTGAAACTTATAATTAGAGTTGACGAATAAGAATAGACTCTCATTAAATAAAGTGAGTGAGAGAACGTAATACAAAACTAACGATATTTTACATCTTCATATTATTTGTTTTTAAAAACCCAGTGTACTTTATTCTACTTCTTTTTTACATGATAAATAGTGCCATTCTCAAGAATAGCAGCCAAATCAACCTCTTCCCTTCTCTTCTTCATACGTGCCTTTATCTGTTGACGTTCTCGCTCCAACATAGTCAAGATAACAAACTGTTCGGATCGCTCCTGCTCCAGTTCAGCCACTTTTAGCTTGTACCAGTTTGAATGTTTATTACATTTACGATGCTGACAGACAGTATATGGCTTATCGATATCATCCAAAGAGACCACCACCTGATCCTCTGTTGTCTTTATCTTTTCCCAGATGGAATCGGGCCAGGATAGCCTTGAATCAAACCCGCACACATCGTCCTCATGACCGAGTGACTTTAAAAATTGGGATTTGTATGTACCTAGTCGAATCATATTTTTTGCGCTCTGTTTCTCATCGCGCACCCGCAGTAATCGTGCTCGATCGTCTTGATCTGCAAATGAACTTAACTTTCCTCTTGAGAGAGGATTGGCATTGTTTTGTTGTTGTAGTAAGGGTCCCATGAGGGCATTGCGTCGCTTCATTTCAGCCAACTCGATACGAGCACGTGCGACTTGCATACCACAATTATCTGTGCAATACTTGCTTAAATGGCCTTGATGTGTTCCGATTCTAGCTGCTTTTTGGCAAGCAGGATTAGCACATTTGGGTTTCCAAGATGTCTTTTTGCCAGTGACTATAAATATATATAAACAAAGGAGTTGACTTTAGTTGACTTCTATTTAATATATTTATATATGTACACTTACTCTTTGCACAGTTTTCACAAAAGTAAAGATCGATAAATTCGCCCTGTTTCTCGCTAATCCCAATACATTCACCATGAAACCATTGATCACACTTATCGCATGCAATCATGAAGCGAGGAGCATCATAAGGACGCTTACAAATACAATACAATGTATTATCAGAAGAAGGAGGTCTTGGCATGGTGTTATTATTGGTTTCGGATAGAGTGACAGGTGGTTCTGTTATAAATGGTTTGGGTACCATGATATTGTGTTTGGTTTGTGCAAGTGGAGGCCTGCCTCTTTTTACTTTTTTCACCGGCTAAAAGTAAATTATTAATATATTATTTTTTTTTAATAAAAATAAACTTACTCGATCTTCCTCTTCAGACCATGATGGTGATCTTTTATCTTGTTCTTTAGTAACCCAGTAATGCTTCTTTAAGGGCTTCTTTTTGTCGTCTATTTGTTTTTTAGGTTGAAGGTCTTCATCTGTCTCTGTTGTTTCACCTTCAGACTGTTGTTGTTGTTGTTGTTGTTGTTGTTGTTGCTGAGGATTAGGGTATTCAGGAAAAGGGTATGATGTGTTACTCTTGGAATGCTCTTCGGGTGTTTCTACTGGCTGCCATTTCAGAACAGGCCCAATGCGCTTTCGTAATGGGAGTCGATTGCTGCTGCCAGTATTGCTGTTTGAACTAGAACTTTCTAATGTGCGAAGATCGGTTTCCGATTTTTCAAAGGAGAGTGCTTGCATGGGAACAGACATGTAAAATAAAAAATAATAATAAAGAAATGCTTGTGTGAATGTGTGTATAAAAGTAAATTGATGAATTAAAAGAATGTTATTAAAAAAGAAAAAAGAAAGAAAAAAAAAAAAAGGAAAACCCCCCCCCAATATGTCGCTTTCTGTCGCTTTCTCTCACTCTTTCTGGCAATTCATTCTTTTTGAGTGTGGTTTAACGCAAAAATAGTCCGAGAATATCCATGTTGTTTTCTATTGGTCAATACATCGGTAAAATATTTACCCATTAAATTAAATGGAAAACTTTTTTTTATCTTTTTCTTCTCTTTCCTTCTCTTCTCGTTATTTTTTATCATGTAGAAATGAAGATGAAATGCTCCTTAAAAAAAGGACCGGGTAACTTGATATTGATGGATCGATAGAAAAAACAAGAATTAAAGGGGGAAAAGAGAAGGAAAAAAAAAAAAAAGGAGGGAAAACTAGTATATTAAACGAAAGAGAAACTTTAATTAGATTTCAAATATTAATAATAATATCAATACAGGTTGGTTGTTGATTCTACTTCACTAAACTTTGAATTATTATGAATACGAGTGTCATTATTATTGCTGTTAAAAGGAACAATGGCAGATCTCTCTTCCAGTTTCTTTGGATGAAAAATAAGAATGACAATCACCCAAACAACAATGCACATTGTATTTACTACATAAAATGACAGGTGAACTTGTTATTCAATAAATAAATATATAAAATAAGCAACTTACTATTACAAATAAAAAAATCTGATGCAAATTTGTGTAAATTCAGCACCTTCTTTTGAGTCAATCCGTCCGCACTTAATATGATAAATGAAGATGAAAATACAAATAGTGCTATTGTCAATAGTAGATTGAGTTCTTGGAAATAGCGTATCTTGTATGTGATGAATTGGACATCGTTCCTTGTTTGTGAGGTGCTTAAGAGTTTTTTGAATCTGAAATGAGAGACCACGCCCAGCATAGCAATTATAAAGAGTTCTATTATTGAGTGGATTGTTACTTATTAGAAATATAAATATACTTTTGTATGGTATTTATCAATTTACCACATCCATATATGAGTTGTGGCATAATTTCTTTAAAAGTGTAATCATAGATATCTCTTGAAAAGTTGTATTGAATTACAGGAAACAAGATGATGTTTACCACAGTCCTAATATATAGAATATAGTGTTATTATAATGGAATAGAATATATTATTATGATTACCATGTAATATAGAATTTAAACTCTTTACTACTCATAAATCTTGCTTTTGCCACAAGTTTAGCAAGATATTTCCAAAAACATTGTAACAATAAGAGTGTTCCTCTATATTATTATTATTATTATTATTTTTTTTTTTTTTGTACGGAATAGTAATATATATCTTTACGTTTGTAATGAGAATCCAATACATAAACTATAATCTAAAAACAAAAGATGATTATAATCAACTATAATCCATTTTTAAATAGTTCATATTTACCAGTTGGAATCACTAGATCTCTATCTTCTTTGCTCCAAAGGAACTCGGGACGAGTTACAATTGTATTATTGACTTGAACAAAGCCTTCTTCGTATTTTATTCTACACGATGCAATATCTATTTATTATTATTATTATTATTATTGTGATATAAATAGAATACGATATATATTATTCACCATAATACAGTTGAAATGGTATCATGATAAGTATCAGAAATGTAACAATTGATTTTAATTCACCACGCTTGACTTTAGAGAGACTTAAACAATTTAAACCTCCTGTTGTATGAGCTCGATAGATCAACCATATAAAAACATATGTCAATCCAATTGCACGTTCTATTTTTTTTTTAAGATAGATTACTATGTTTATTTTTTAATGATAAAATGTAATTGTTTTTTTGTTTTTTTTATCAATGTTTTTCTTACGTAAAAAGCTAAAATCACTCAAGTGAGTCATGTAGAATGTAAAGTAAAAAAAAAAAGCAAAAAAAAAACAGAGGAAAGAAGGGGAAAACAAAAGCAAACAACACATTTAAATAAATGCAAGTTTTTTATTTTCCTTGGATTTGAGAAAAAAAAAAAATAGGTATAAAGGAGAGGAAGTGTGTGTGAGTGAGGGAGGGGATGACAAGACAATGTGAGAGAGAGGGGTGCTTTTATTATTATTATAAGGAGTTGATTTACTTTATTGGATTGTTTTAAAAGACTCATTTCTCTCTCTTTTATGACATTGATATGGAACTGTATCACAGACCATTGTTTGTGTTGTGCATGATAATAGCAATGACTATATTTTGTACATAAGTAATTACGAGATACTATATTTGTCAACTACAACAAATCGATTCGCATATATTATAAAAAAGAAAAGGTCAAAATATTTGTAATGCAGGGAAGATCCTTACAATGTTACTTTTTAGTTAGGAAAAATCAAAAAGGACTTAGCTTCGTTTTATTGACATTATAAATATATAATGTAGGAGAGAGAGAGGAAGTTGTCTCTCTTGTTTGCTTGATTAAGAAAACCTAAACAAACACAATGCATATTATATATTTAGTAAGCATCACAGGATATAATGTAAGTGATAAAAAAAAGTAAAGAAGGTTTTTTCGGATATGTCCTTTCTTAGATATAAGTTCATTTCGTTCTACTACTTCTCTTTCTCTTCTTTTTTATATCTTTACTCCTTCCTTTTCTATATTAGGTGCATCGGTCCTTGGTATTCCATTAATGTCACATTTCAATACTAACTCCAAAATCTTGATCTCAAACAAAGTTAAGATAAAGCATATTGATTAAATAAAAAAAAAAGTGAGATATACATAATATCATTTGTTTTTGTTCCATATGCTATAT